GTCAAAATTTGAAATTGACCTCAAATTAGAAAAGTAATCATATATTCAGGTTCCCCACCGGTTGGGGAACCCGAAAAATCATATGTTTTCCGGATGCGACCTCTCTTTCAAGAGTTAGGCCAGGGTATATATCGCATTTCTTGGCAAATAGCCAATTAAGCACGGAATGTCAAAATTTGAAACTGACCTCAAATTCGAAAAGTGAACATATATTCAGGTTCCCCACCGGTTGGGGAACCCGAAAAATCAAATTTTTTCCGGATGCGACCTCTCCTTCAAGAGTTCGGCAAGAGCATATCTCGCATTTGTTGGCAAATAGCCAGTTAAGCATGGAAAGTCAAAATTTGAAATTGACCTCAAATTAGAAAAGTAATCATATATTCAGGTTCCCCACCGGTTGGGGAACCCGAAAAATCATTTTTTTTCAGGATGCGACCTGTCCTTCAAGAGTTCGGCCAGGGTATATATCGCATTTGTTGGCAAATAGCCAATTAAGAATGGAAAGTCAAAATTTGAAACTGACGTCAAATTATAAAAGTAAACATATATTCAGGTTCCCCACCAGTTGGGGAACCCGAAAAATCATATGGTTTCCGGATGCGACCTCTCCTTCAAGAGTTAGGCCAGGGTATATCTCGCATTTGTTGGCAAATAGCCAAATAAGCATGGAAAGTCAAAATTTGAAACTTACCTCTAATTAGTAAAGTAAACATATATTCAGGGTCCCCACCGGTTGGGGAACTCGAAAAATCATATGTTTTCCGGATGCGACCTCTCCTTCAAGAGTTAGGCCAGGGTATACCTCGCATTTGTTGGCAAATAGCCAATTAAGCACGGAAAGTCAAAATTTGAAACTGACCTCAAATTAGAAAAGTAATCATATATTCAGGTTCCCCACCGGTTGGGGAACCCGACAAATCATATTTTTTCAGGATGCGATCTTTTTTTCAGGAGTTAGGCCAGGGCATATCTCGCGTTTGTTGGCAAATAGTCAAATGAGCATGGAAAGTCAAAATTTGAAAATGACCTCAAATTAGAAAAGTAAACATATATTCAGGTTCCCCACTGGTTGCGGAACCCGAAAAATCATATGTTTTCAAGATGCGACCTCTCCTTCAGGAGTTAGGCCAGGGCATATCTCGCGTTTGTTGGCAAATAGCCAATTAAGCATGGAAAGTCAAAATTTGAAAATGACCTCAAATTAGAAAAGTAAACATATATTCAGGTTCCCCACTGGTTGCGGAACCCGACAAATCACATTTTTTCAGGATGCGACCTCTCCTTCAGGAGTTAGGCCAGGGCATATCTCGCGTTTGTTGGCAAATAGTCAATTTCGCATGGAAAGTCAAAATTTGAAACTGACCTCAAATTCGAAAAGTAAACATATATTAAGGTTCCCCACCGGTTGGGGAACCCGAAAAATCATTTTTTTTCAGGATGCGACCTCTCCTTCAAGAGTTTGGCCAGGGTATATATCGCATTTGTTGGCAAATAGCCAATTAAGCATGGAAAGTCAAAATTTGAAACTGACCTCAAATTAGAAAAGTAAACATATATTCAGGTTCCCCACCGGTTGGGGAACCCGAAAAATCATATGGTTTCTGGATGCAACCTCTCCTTCAAGAGTTAGGCCAGGGTATATATAGCATTTGTTGGCAAATAGCCAATTAAGCACAGAAAGTCAAACTTTGAAACTGACCTCAAATTTGAAAAGTAAACATATATTCAGGTTCCCAACCGGTTGGGAAACCTGAAAAATCAAATTTTTTCTGGATGCGACCTCTCCTTCAAGAGTTCGGCAACAGCATATCTCGCATTTGTTGGCAAGTAGCCAATTAAGCATGGAAAGTAAAAATTTGAAATTGACCTCAAATTAGAAAAGTAATCATATATTCAAGTTCCCCACGAGTTGGGGAACCCGAAAAATCATATGTTTTCCAGATGCGACCTCTCCTTCAAGAGTTAGGCCAGGGTATATCTCGCATTTGTTGGCAAATAGCCAATTAAGCATGGAAAGTCAAAATTTGAAACTGACCTCAAATTCGAAAAGTAAACATATATTCAGGTTCCCCACCGGTTGGGGAACCCGAAAAATCATATTTTTTCAGGATGCGACCTCTCCTTCAGGAGTTAGGCCAGGGCATATCTCGCGTTTGTTGGCAAATAGTCAATTGAGCATGGAAAGTCAAAATTTGAAACTGACCTCAAATTAGTAAAGTAAACATATATTCAGGTTCCCCACCAGTTGGGGAACCCGAAAAATCATATGTTTTCCGGATGCGACCTCTCTTTCAAGAGTTAGGCCAGGGTATATATCGCATTTGTTGGCAAATAGCCAATTAAGCACGGAATGTCAAAATTTGAAACTGACCTCAAATTCGAAAAGTGAATATATATTCAGGTTCCCCACCGGTTGGGGAACCCGAAAAATCAATTTTTTTCCGGATGTGACCTCTCCTTCAAGAGTTCGGCAAGAGCATATCTCGCATTTTTTGGCAAATAGCCAGTTAAGCATGGAAAGTCAAAATTTGAAATTGACCTCAAATTAGAAAAGTAATCATATATTTAGGTTCCCCACCGGTTGGGGAACCCGAAAAATCATATTTTTTCAGGATGCGACCTCTCCTTCAGGAGTTAGGCCAGGGCATATCTCGCGTTTGTTGGCAAATAGTCAATTGAGCATGGAAAGATAACATTTGAAACTGACCTCAAATTAGTAAAGTAAACATATATTCAGGTTCCCCACCGGTTGGGGAACCCGAAAAATCATATGGTTTCCGGATGCAACCTCTCCTTCAAGAGTAAGGCCAGGGTATATATCGCATTTGTTGGAAAATAGCCAGTTAAGCATGGAAAGTCAAAATTTGAAACTGACCTCAAATTAGAAAAGTAATCATATATTCAGGTTCCCCACCGGTTGGGGAACCCGAAAAATCATATTTTTTCAGGATGCGACCTCTCCTTCAGGAGTTAGGCCAGGGCATATCTCGCGTTTGTTGGCAAATAGTCAATTGAGCATGGAAAGTCAAAATTTGAAACTGACCTCAAATTAGTAAAGTAAACATATATTCAGGTTCCCCACCGGTTGGGGAACCCGAAAAATCATATGTTTTCCAGATGCGACCTCTCCTTCAAGAGTTAGGCCAGGGTATATCTCGCATTTGTTGGCAAATAGCTAATTAAGCATGGAAAGTCAAAATTTGAAACTGACCTCAAATTCGAAAAGTAAACATATATTCGGGTTCCCCACTGGTTGGGGAACCCAAAAAATCATTTTTTTTCAGGATGCGACCTGTCCTTCAAGAGTTCGGCCAGGGTATATATCGCATTTGTTGGCAAATAGCCAATTAAGAATGGAAAGTCAAAATTTGAAACTGACCTCAAATTATAAAAGTAAACATATATTCAGGTTCCCCACCGGTTGGGGAACCCGAAAAATCATATGGTTTCCGGATGCGACCTCTCCTTCAAGAGTTAGGCCAGGGTATATCTCGCATTTGTTGGCAAATAGCCAAATAAGCATGGGAAGTCAAAATTTGAAACTTACCTCGAATTAGTAAAGTAAACATATATTCAGGGTCCCCACCAGTTGGGGAACTCGAAAAATCATATGTTTTCCGGATGCGACCTCTCCTTCAAGAGTTAGGCCAGGGTATACCTCGCATTTGTTGGCAAATAGCCAATTAAGCACGGAAAGTCAAAATTTGAAACTGACCTCAAATTCGAAAAGTAAACATATATTCAGGTTCCCCACCGGTTGGGGAACCCGAAAAATCAAATGTTTTCCGGATGCGACCTCTTTTTCAGGAGTTAGGCAAGGGCATATCTCGCATTTGTTGGCAAATAGCCAATTGGGCATGGAAAGTCAAAATTTGAAACTGACCTCAAAT